GATTGCGTAAATATTTCCATGTACAGAAACAGGCGCTCAACGTAATGCGATGCACCTTCTCGTTCCTTGCCTGACATGTCTCGGTGCTTGATGGCGAAGCGGTGAGATGGCGGCTGATGCTGCTGTAAGTGAGTCGCAAAGGCTGACCCAGCGCGAGCGTGCTGAGTTGGGGATGGCATAGCAGAATCGGCAGGAAGGGATGCAAAAAAGCATCGGCCTTGTGCGAAAACTTGGTGCTTGCCAGCTATGTGATGTAAGAGCCCCAGAAGTGGAGAGCGAAGGTTGGATACGCAGCCTCTCGTTCTTCTCGCCAAACGCGCTACGCCGGTAGTATCTTAGCTGCTGCGCCTGGAGACAATAAACGAGCACGCACTTACAAGAGGATAAACAAACTCTTGGAGCTCTCGGTGACTTGGCTGCGAGAGCCATCGTCTTGCCAAGACGCACGAGCTATGTCCCTTTGATTGTAGCGACTCGCTCGATTCCGGTCGCGATAGCGCGCGGGCCTCCTTAGAGATGATTTCTAGAATAAGAGTATATATTGTCTATGTAAGCCCTAAAAAAATACGAGAGATGGCGTGGCCGTTGGTAAGAAGCTCGCTTGCAGCGGAGGCTGTCGACGAGGATAGGCCAACACGATAGAGAGCGATAGAGCGTATACAGAAACGAACCTGAGAGGACTAGTGTATCGAAATCACGCATCGTCTCTAAGCTTTCAGATGCGCAAGCTTTGCAGTGCGGAGAAAGCTCCCACTAAATTTGCAGGGGGGCGTGACATGGAGAGATGGTCGTGGGGTGCCAGGAAAGTGAGATTGAGGGAGATTCATGAGCTGAGCGCGGGGAGTGACTCGAAGGTAACAGCGGTGATGGATCGCGCCTCCCACGATCGTGCGCATCGTCGTGCACCTGCAACAGATGCTCGAGCCGTGGGCGAGCAGCATCGTCACCTCGACCTGGACAAGGGTACAGCACTAGCTTGTTAATGTTCCCGCGCACTTGGCGCGCCACGCCTGCGGTCTCAGGGTCCTGGTTCCAGTCCTCGAGGTCTGCGAACGACTTCGAGCCGTGGAGCGTTCGGAACTCGTTCATCGAGCGTGCGCCCCTGTTGCGGGCCCTGTGCCATGCCCAGGATCTCGACGACGCAGAAGATGGCGGGGTAGCCCAGCGCACGGTGTGCGACTGCAATGACCTCGGTCGCCTTCTGGATGGTGTTCACGAGGTCGTCGTCTGCGAACAAGCGGCACGAGCCAGCATGCTTGAGGCTGAATAACGATGTCAGATCGAGGGCCGACGAGAAGACGAGGGAACGCACCCACCAAATTACCGCATGCACAGGTTCGAATCGACGAAATTGCACCACAAATGTCTGATGGTGGCCCCGAAGCCGCTCACTGCAGCCTCCGGGGATCTTCGCCAAATAAATACTTGAGCAAAGACGTTCTCGACCTGTTTGACGTCCTTTTTTTTTGCCGTCGGCGCACGCCACTGGGCACCTCGTCAATAACCGCGCAGCCGCGCCAGATAGAAGAATTAGACGGCGTACGCGGTACAGCGGACCAAACTCAACAGATGTGGTTGCCCTCGCCGCACCCGACGGTCTCTGAGTGGCCGCTCGACGATTTGATGGGCTGCACTCCGTGTGAGCGTGACACAAACACAAGGGGTGTGGGGATGCACATCGAAGGGGCTCATAGTCTCGGCTAGTCTATCGCGCTGCAGGCCCAAGAATCCCCCGACGCTATCTTCAAACTTAGACCATCACCATGAAGTGTCCGCAGCTAAATATCGAGAGGTACGTCAGCATATGCCTGTCATTCTCAAGGGCTGCCACAGAATGTGTATCAGGATGTAGGCCGTTGGCACTCGGGAGCGGAGCCTGCACTCATTGCGAGTACAAGCCCGAGCTCACGATGGTCGCTCGGATGAAGGCAGAATGCAACGAATGGGAGCAGGCACACGCACTTGGCGAGCCGGGAACATCGAAGTGACCACGGCTTCACTGTTCCCTCTTCGCCACGTCCAACGGTGGTGGGCCCATCCACCCTGCGCGGCTGCGCCTGACTAGTTTACCTTCTATAGCATATTCGCAATTTGCTGCACTCCTTCTGTGAGCCGTGGCACAAGCTGAACAGGACGCGAGAGGACGTACGTTTGTTATTCTTGCTGATAAGACTCGCGACGCACTACGGACGGCGAGACGAATGCGAGACAATTCCGTGCGAACACGTCGTTCCAGTACAGCGAGGCGTACCTTACCGCCTTGTTGGGCACGAGTTTCTGCTCTGTGTAGTTCGTGTTGTGCTGCGGCGATGAGTCGAGAACGATGTCGTGATGTTGGTCGTCGAGTACGTCAGTGCGGTGCGGGACAGGAAGCTGCTGTGCGTCACGAGTCGCGACCGACGTGAACACGGACGTCAGCGACGAGTTGCGTGCGAGATGCAGCACAAACTGCACAAGAGCGTCAGTGCTGATGA